CCTGAGTCAGTAAAACACACGAGTAGTCCCAAAAACCTCTTTAATTTCAAGGCTGTGAATTCCGTTCATTCACAGATGAGTCCCAAATAGTTGTAAAGAGTCCTTCGGGATAAGGCTGATAATCATCCTCCTTTATCTCCCTTGGCACGCTGTCAAAGACCTAATTGGCAAAGCCACACCGAGTCCAGAATCAAACAGAGCTTCAGACTTTAAACTGAGCAGAATTAACAACGTTGCTTCCTGCAAAGGCCCACGTGCCTTTGCTCCTCTTTTAAGTCTTATGGGAGAGGCCAATCATCTCCAAGCCCTACTCCTGAGTTCTCCCTTTTGTTTTAACTGTTCTTGCCTTCTGGCAGCTCTGCGCATGCGTGCAACTGGGAACAGGCTCCCCTGTTCCTCTGCCTCGCTGAGGTCCAACTCTGGAGACTCCGGAGGCAGCATGTACCTCCCAGATGGCCCTTTCTCTGCCTCCGACGCAGAGCCCTCGTCCTAGCCTTCCCCAGACTCCAGGACTGGCCCATGTTCCTCCTCAACCTCCACACTGTCTGACTCTGCTACCAGCTCCGCAGGCCACTGGCGGACCACAACAGCTTGACCCAAAAACGTTTTCATGAAGAGACAAGCCCTTCCTCACAAACCAGTGAGAAGTTTATATCATATAACTGTCTCTAAATTTTGGAGCATATTAACTCTAGTTGCTTTTAACACTCTGCCCACAGCAGTTCTGGACGGCTGATATAAAAAAGTTCCAAATGAACTGAAACTGTGCCTCTGTGGACAAGGGCCATTGAAACTACAGCTTATGTCCTGTTGTATGGTCCTCTCTATAGGGTCTCACAGGCTCCTAACACCTTACCTGATTAAACATCCTGGAAATTTTGGTCTCTTGTACATAAAAGTTACTTAAGCATAGCTTAAGTTTTGTTACACTGTCTGTAAAATTTATTTATTTATTTATTTATTTATTTATTTATTTATTTATTTATTTATTTATTTTTCAAACTTCTATACCGCCCTTCTCCTTTCGGACTCAGGGCGGTGAACAGCTAAGATAAAAAACATTTATACATAAAGTTAAAGATTTAAAATAATTAAATAAATTTGGCCCGTAATTTAAAACTTATCAATTTAAAATCCGTATCAAATTTTAAAACCAACCATAAAATCAGGACAGTCCGGCTAACTGAAAAAAATAGGTTTTTAGGGCCCGACGAAAAGTCCGGAGGTCGGAGATCACTCGTATCTCTGGGGGTAGATTGTTCCAAAGGGTAGGTGCCACCACAGAGAAGGCTCTCCCCCTGGGGGTCGCCAGCCGACATTGTCTGGTCGACGGCACCCTGAGGAGGCCCTCTCTGTGGGAGCGAACTGGCCGGTGGGAGGCAATTGGTGGCAGAAGGCGGTCCCGTAAGTACCCCGGCCCTAAGCCATGGAGCGCTTTAAAGGTGATCACCAACACCTTGAAGCGCACCTGGAAATCCACCGGAAGCCAATGCAGCTCGCACAGGAGAGGAGTCACATGGGACCGCCCCGTTGCTCCCATAACCCCCCGCGCGGCCGCATTCTGCACCAGTTAGAGCCTCCGGGTGTACCCCAAGGGGAGCCCCATGTAGAGAGTGTTACAATAGTCCAGACGAGAAGTGACGAGTGCTTGAGTGACCATGCGTAGGGAGTCCCGATCCAGAAAGGGGCACAACTGGCGTATCAGGCGAATCTGATAGAAAGCCCCCCTGGCCACGGCTGTAATATGCTCTTCTAAAGACAGCCGTGCGTCCAGGAGGACACCCAAGTTGTGGGCCCTTTCCATGGGGCCAATGATTCACCCCCAATAACCAGCGATGGCATCAGCTGGCTATACCGGGATGCTGGCAGCCACAGCCACTCGGTCTTGGAAGGGTTGAGTCAAAGCCTGTTTCTCCCCATCCAGACCCGCACGGCCTCCAGACACTGGGACATCACTTCCAAGGCATGGTTGGGATGGTCTGGGGTGGAGATGTACAGCTGAGTATCATCAGCGTACTGATGGAACTCCACCCCAAAACCACGGATGATCTCACCCAGCGGCTTCACATAAATGTTGAACAGGAGGGGTGAGAGGACCGACCCTTGTGGCACCCCACAAACAAGGCGCCTTGGGGTCGACCGCTGCCCCCCTGTCAACACAGATTGCGACCGGTCAGAGAGATAGGAGGAGAACCACCGCAAAACGGTGCCCCCCACTCCCAGTCCCTCCAGCCGGTGCAACATGATACCATGGTCGATGGTATCAAAAGCCGCTGAGAGATCTAACAGGACCAGGATAGAGGAATAACCCCTATCCCGAGCCCTCCAGAGATCATCCACCAACGCGACCAATGCCGTTTCCGTGCTGTACCCAGGTCTGAAGCCGGACTGGAGCGGATCCAAATAGACAGCTTCATCCATTAGGCAGACCTTTGTCATCCATTTTCACCATCAATTGTAATATGCTCTATTTTGTTCAGTTCAGTTTTGCTTTATTTTATTTTGATGTTTATTGTTTAATTTTTTTGTGCTGGTCTGTAAAGATTGATTGATTGATTCACACTTGAACTTATTTCTCAAAATTAGTCAGTAACAAACATAATGAAAGTTTCACAAGGATATTGATGCAATGGAAAAAAGGTATCAGGCAAGGGGAATCTATTAATGCTGGCTGATTATTGTTGGACACTGCAGGGAGATGCATCAGACACTGAGTATAAACAAAAATCAGCAAAACATTTTTAGACCTGTTCAAGTTGTACAGTGTGTCAGAAACATTATGTAATTAAATATATTAGTCATTAAAAGCTGATTTCATATTTCTCAAGACTCTTACGTGATACAATATCTAAATACTATATTTATTTATTTATTTTTTTGAAGGAGTCTATTATAATCACCAAACGTTTTTCAGGAAGCAAATGTTTGAAGAAAAATTGTCGTTAAAGGCTAGGTGAAAATTATTACTGATTGAGAATTTGGATCCATTATGTTTTATGTGAGCAACAATGGATGTTAGTCTAATTCAGGTTAAATTTTAAGGCAAAGATATTTTTGTTAAAAGTCCTTTATGGTCTAAATTTAAGTTATTTGGGTCAGGCCCAATTTCTTTGTACCTATAGTGTAACTCCTTTTTAAAACCTGGGAGAAGGGAATCTTTAAATAATGCCAGTATCTGTTAAGTGAATGAGTCCTAAGTTTGAAACTAATTTCCTTGGGTAATGCCATGGATTCATTCCTTTTCGTAACTGTTTTATGGTGCTATTTTGATACGGGTTTGGTTTATGGTTAATTTTTAATTTGCAGGAATCTATTGAATGTTTATTAACTTGACTAAATGATTATATTTTATGGTACTCTTTTATGCCCAGTAAAATTTAGCTAAATTTGTCCTGTCTAAACTGTCCTTGGTCCAGCCTTGGGATTTGTTCATAATATTACTTTTGAAGCACTCAGCCTCAGGATGCAACTCAGCTGGTTCCATCCATTAAATACATGATCTTCGTGGCCCTGAGGGTCCTTTGCTCTCTCTGAGTGGGATGAGGGAAACTTCTTAATGCACTTGGAGTGCCATCATCAGCTGCATTCTGCTGTTTGCTTCCATCAAAATGAACAAGACACATTTCCACAATAAAGAGAGGTTCCATAAAACAACCCAACAAAATTGAGTAGCTTTAGTTTTTTGAAAAAGCTTTTCCTGTAATCTAGTTTCCATGGTAATAGGAATAAGTATATTTTTCCTACTTGAATTCTTTTGCTGATAATGTGCTTAAATGTGTTTGTCACATGCAATCCTTAAGAGTGCTTTCATTTAAAATTAAATTGAGGAAATGTTGGAATATCAATACCTTCTAGTCTCACAAGACACAAATCACTTTTTTGCCCACTACATATTTTGTGTATTTTCATGCATTTTTGTTAATTCTTCATTTAAATAGTATTTAAAATATATTACATTGGCAAAAATAAGGGACATAACTTCAGATCATGGTCATAATACTTATATTTAAAGAAAATAATTATTTGGTAGTTTTTGAGCTCATCATATTTAAATAAAAATAAATAAAAAATACAACTACTGTACATCTCAAGTGTATTTATAAATTTGAAGCATATTGCTTCCAGCAAGTAGTGGCAAACCTCAAAATAATAACCTAGTATTCAGGAGTGCCTTTTAAAAATACACGTCGTTGGCTCAACTCAGCAGTGAATTCAGAACCAATGATTCCCACTTTGTCATCTTCAACTAACAGAAGATAATTTATTAAGTTAACAACCTTCTATACAGGCTAAAGGTGACAAAGTGGAAATCATTGGTTTTCATATTCGATAAAATGTCATATTTTGATATAACTGGCTTAAGGTTAACTCAACTTTCCATCCTTCTGAAGTTAGTAAAATGAGGACCCAGATTGTTGGAGCAATATGCTGACATTGTAAACCACTCAGAGAGTTCAGTAAAGCACTATGGAGCAGTATATAAGTCTCTGCTATTGCTATTACTATTGCTATATTGCTGTAGATAAGGTGTATTAAGGCCAGAAAAAGAGAGTTCACATTTCCATTGACTTGAAAAGATGGGCTATAAACATTTAGCATTTCAAATGAGCAAACTATTTCCAGAGTTTTGAATCTAACCCTTAAATTGAATTGAGTAGTGATCTATTAAAAAAGGTTACCTGGTTTCTGAATACCTGATATGTCAGTTTGAGTATAGTTTTTTTTCCTTTTGGCAAACACATATGGACCAGGCATTTGTATTCTCTTGAACAGTATGTACTTATCTGCAGTATTTTATGCATATACAGTTAGAATCTATTAACCAGGACAGTGCATGATACTTCTTTTATCTTTTAGGAAATTTTCAAATAATATTTTGCTTCTCTCTCTCCCTGTCTCTCTCTCCCCCCTCCCTCCCTCTTTCTTTCTTTCTTTCTTTCTTTCTTTCTTTCTTTCTTTCTTTCTTTCTTTCTTTCTTTCTTTCTTTCTCACTCACTCAGAATTTTTCCCAGGGAGTATCTTCTTCAGCAGATCCACCTATATTCTCTGGCAGATCTACAGCAGGTAAGTGGTTTTAGATATCAGACCCTATGTATCTGTGTGCGTGTGAGAGACAAAGAGACTGTTCAGTTTTTTTTTCAGCCTGTGGATTAATGATAATTCACAGTCAGTAATGAAAGTATTTCAAGTGTTTCACAAATGATAACTTAAGAACAGGTTATTTATAACTTGCATATTTATAGTTTTTAACTTAGTAATAAATACTTATTAACTTACGTTCTTGAAAGAACAGACTGAATTATGAGATGAGTTGGCTTCTTTTTGCCTTTAAAACAAATATGTTCTGTTTTAATACTGTATAAAATGTTTACAGGATAAATATTTGTAAGAATTTCACAAATCGAGGTGGTAAGTATAGTAATCCGTGGACAAGAAGGATACTGATTTTTCTCTCTTTAAATGTAGATTGCGATAATAGAAGTCTTTTTTACAATGGTGATTGCCAAAATTCAGTGTTCATGTTTGTGAACTGATTTGAATATGTGAAGTGCATTACAGAAAATGAATAATGAATAAATATAGCACTGTGGTATGTGGAAATTACTTGTGGTAGTTTGAACTCCAGGCTGACACTCATAATAACTTACCTGCTGGATATGAATGAACTTCAGGATGCTCAGAGCCACCTATATTTTTTTGTAGAATTCCAAAATCCACCTCCTATACAAAAGACACATACAGAATGCTCAAAATGTACTTGAATCTAAGAATTTTTTTCAGTGCCACAAGTGAATTGGACACTACTTTCATACAAAATGTCACTTCCTGATGATTCCAAGCTTATGTTATTGTGAAAGCCTGAAATAAATGTTAAAAATCTTGTTGCTCTTACAACTTAACCATATAGAGTCACAAATCCTTTATCTATGTACTCTAGTTCACCTCAAAATCTGCCAGTAGATGCTACTTTTGTCCAATCTTCATTTGAATAATCTAAGTACAGAAGAGAAAGTAGCTTAAAAGAAGAAAATCAGTTTCCCCAGCTGACAGTTTGTAAATCTCTAATGCTTTTTGATCTACCTCATTTAAAAAATGGACATGGAAATGCCATCCACAGATTCTCAAATTGTCTGGAGGAGAGGGGAAAGAGTAAAAGGAGCAGGGTTTCAGACTCATATTTCATCCATTTATTTAGCCACTCTGACAGATAATTTTGTGTGTTGATATACATTTAGATTTTTTTCCCCTCTTCTGCACTTCAAACCTTTCATCATGTAATTCAATTACTGTTGCTCCTGCTCTGGTGAGTAATTTTTGCTTTTAATCTAGCTCAGTAGTTATTATCAGCCTAGAAAGTTTTCTACTAGTCTTTTGTGCTTGCCATCTTGTTTCATTACTTGTTATGTTTAAAATAAAATTGTCTGCCTCATTTCTGTCAAAAAGATGTATTAGGAAGGGTTGAAAAAAACAAGATTAGGACCCTTACAGATACTTACAATGATAATGATGATGATTATATGCCATCAAGTTGGTGTCGACTCTTAACAAACATAGATTTTCTCCAGAATAATCTGCTCCTAACCTGGTCCTTCTGATTTTCCAGTGATATACCCATTGCTAAGGTAATTGAGTCCATCTGTCTTTCTGCCATCATCCTTTTCTTATTCCTTCCTGTAGACTTCTCAAGAGCACTAGGTCTTTGCTTAATATGCCCAAAAGATGATAATTCAGTTTGACCATGTGTGTATTTACTGAAAACTATGATATATTTTTTGTGTGCGTTCTTGTGCATGGTATTCTCAAAAGTCCTCTCCAACACCAAAATTCAAAAACTTAATACTCTTTATGCTGTGTCTCCAAAGACCAATTTTCACTTTAATAGGATGTAACAGGGAAAACTATTTTACCTATTTTTGTGGTATATATCTTGACTGTTAGTTTCTTAACTTTGATAGTTGATCCTAAAAGACACATCACCAATTTCTTTATTATCAATTCTAAGATTGGTTGCTGTATTTGTTCTCATTAATTTGATCAAAATCATTTGTTTAGTCTTCTTAGTCCCATTTTCACTATGCCTCTTGACTTTAATTACTAGAGCTTCCTGATAATTTGCATTTTCTGCTATCAGGATACTGTAATCTGAATAGTTCGGGTTATTGATGATTCTTCCATCACTTTTAGAACCACACTCAACTTCCAATCCAACTTCCCTCAATATATTTTCAGCATATAGGTTGCATATAGGGGAGAGTTTAGAGCCTTGTCTCATTTCTTTGCTAACCTGGAAACAATCTGTTTCTTCATGTTCTATCTGGATTGTGGCTTCTTGACCTGTGTATGGGTCTTTCATGAAGACAATGAGATTTATTTATTTACCAAAAATTTATATGCCGCCCTTCTCCCTAAGGACTCAGGGCAGCGAACACAAGTTAAAAACATACAATAATAAAAAGTAAGGTGATTAAAACCCAGATTAATAACAACAATCAAAATAATAAAACCCAAGGATCAGGGTCAACCCATTTGTTGGAACAGCCAAGTCTTTAAGTCCCGACAGAAGGAGCGGAGATCAGGCGCCGTCCGAAGCTCGGTGGGTAACTCGTTCCAAAGGAGAGGGGCGCCTACAGAGAACGCTCTACCCCTGGACGTCGCCAGCCGACATTGTCTGGCCGACAGTACCCTGAGGAGGGCAGCCCTGTGAGAGCAGACAGGACGGTGGGAGGCAGATAGAAGATGGTCCTGCAAATACCCCGGACCTAAGCCATGTAGGGCTTTAAAGGTAAGTACCAGCACCTTGAAGCAGATCCGGAGGACCACTGGTAGCCAGTGCAGCTCGCATAGGAGAGATGTTACCCGGGAGTAACGGGGAGCTCCCATAACCACCTGCGCGGCCGCATTCTGGACCAGCTGGAGCCTCTGGGTGTACCTCAAGGGCAGCCTCATGTAGAGGGAGTTGCAGTAATCCAAACGAGAAGTAACCAGGGCGTGAGTGACCATGCGAAGGGCATCTCGGTCTAGGAAAAGGCGCAACTGGCACCAGGCGTACCTGGGCAAAAAAACCCCTGGTCATGGCCGTAAGATGGTCTTCCAAAGACAGCTGGGAATCCAGGAGGACACCTAAGTTGCGGGCCCTCTCGACAGGAAGAAGCCTTCCCCCCCCCCCAATCGAAAGTGATGGAACTTCTGCAAGAGCCTTGGTAGTACAGTGGTTTAATGCACCCTGTAATTAACACAGCTGCCTGCAATTTCTGCAGGTTTGAATCTTACCAGGCTCAAGGTTGACTCAGCCTTCCATCCTTTCTAAGGTAGGTTAAATGAGGACCCAGTTTGTGGGGGCAATAAGCTGACTTTGTATAAATATACAAAAGTATGAAGGCTATTGCTTAACGCATTGTAAGCCGCCCTGAGTCTCCGGAGAAGGGCGGCATATAAATCAAATTTAAAAAAAAACAAAAAAAAACAAAACACGAGACACCGGCATCCATAGCCACTCAGTCTTGGAAGGGTTGAGTCTTAGCCTGTTCCTACCCATCCAGGCCCATACTGCCTTCAGGCAGCGGGACATCACGGAAAGGGTGGCCCGGGGTGGAGATATATAACTGAGTATCATCAGCATATTGATGATACCTCACCCCGAAACCACAAATGATCTCACCCAGCGGCTTCATATAGATGTTAAAGAGTAGGGGGGAGAGAACCGACCCCTGAGGCACCCCACAGGTTAGGGGCCTCGGGGGGGAACCTCTGCCCCCCCCCGCCCATACAAACTGCGAACGACCTGAGAGGTAGGAGGAGAACCACTGTAAAACAGTGCCTCCTATCCCCAACCCCCCAATTCGTTGCAGTAAGATACCATGGTCGATGGTATCGAAAGCTGCTGAGAGGTCAAGTAGGACCAGGATGGAGGAACAACCTCCATCCCGGGCCCGCCAGAGATCATTCACCAGCGACCAATGCCGTTTCCGTGCTGTGCCCGTGCCGGAACCTCGATTGGTACGGGTCTAGGAAATCCATTTCCTCCAGGAACTGTGGGAGCTGTTGCGCCACCACGGACTCAACAACCTTCACTATATAAGCGAAGGACCGGCTGATAGTTATTAAGTGAGTCTGGATCCAGGGCTGGCTTCTTGAGGAGGGGTCGAACCACCAACTCCTTAAGGGAGGCGGGGATGATCCCCTCCCTCAAAGAAGTGTTGACATTAGCCTGGATCCAGTCTCCAGTCACCTCCCGGGTAGCCAAGACAAGCCAAGGTGTTCTGGGATTCCCATTTTCCTAAGCATATTCCATATTTTGATGTGGTTGACATGATCAAAAGCCTTTCTGTAGTTAGTAAAGCACATGTTTACTCTTTTTGGTATTCCTTGACTTTCTTAATTTTCCAGCAGGTCTCTGTAATTATACTTCTTATTACTCAGCTTTTCTAAAGCCAGCTTGAACTGTTTCCATTTGGATTCTCATCATGTAGGATGTGTTGGATGATTCTAAATATTATTTTGATGGCATGTGAAATTAAAGATATTGTATAATAATTTATATACTGTGTTAAATTTCCTTTTTATATATTAGTATGTACATTGACCTCTGCTGATCTGTTGGCTGTTTTCCACATTTGTTTACATTATTTGGTTAGAATCTTGACTGATTCATCTTCTGTTCCTTGTTGTATTTCTGTAGATATCTCAACCACTCCTGTACTTTCCAACTTGGTAATGACTAGGGTACTGATCTAACATTACCTTCTAGTACTAGACTAGAGTTTCTTGTATATAGGAAATGTCTTCCAAGATATCTTGCATGTTGATATCTCTATTGAACAGAATGTCAGTATACTTTCCTATCTTTGTTTAATCATCTGGGAATCAGTTACTGCCTGGCCATTGATGTCCTTTAGTACAGTATGTCAGTTTAAAGCTGGAATTACCTTCTGAGTTTGGAGATTTTTTAAAATAATTCTTTTCACTCAACATTATTCCCGGTGACTATCTAGTCAACTAGTTGCAGTTTTGTTGGCCAGTTTTCAGAAGTGGTTTACCATTGCCTCTTTCCTAGGGCTGAGAGA